AAAAATTAAATTACCTAGGCAAGTTAAAAGTTAAAAAAAATCTTTCAAAAGTTATTTAATTTTGTATTATTAGAAAAATTTATTAATTACTAAGTCGTTCTTCTTCTTGTTTTAAACAGAGTATTGCAAAAGTTTTGCAAAAACTTTAATTAAAAAATATATAACATTAGTTGATAAAAGTTAAATGTAATAAAAAAGTAAAACAAATATAATCTGACTTTAAATTTTAGTTAATGTTCCGTTTTATTTTTATTTTGAATCAAACTTAAAATCAATTAATGAAAAGTTACTTTTCACTTGAAATCAAATTTATAAAAAAATCTAAACTTTTTTAAATTTGAAGCACTATTTATAAAAGTTAAAAATAAAATATCTATTAAACTTTTTAAACAAATAAAATGTAATCTAGTTGTTGTAACCTGTAAATATTAGTCCAATTTTTAAATATAATATTATTTAAAAATTGGTGTCAATTCTTTGAGCATTATTATAATATGTTATAATTTTTTTATAATAATATTATACTAACAGCTCATAATATTAGTTGTTAGTATAATATTATTATAACAAATTATTCTATTATTAGTAATTATAAATTATTCTAATATTAGTAATATTAGAATATTTGTTATTACTATTCTTTTTTCTTTTAATATATTGTTATTAATATGTAATTTATAATAATAATAATAATAATAATAATAATAATAATAATAATTGTAATAATAACAATAATAATAATAACAAAATTAAAAAGCTTGTTGTTGTTGTTTTGCTTAACCTAAAATTCAAAATAAATACCTTTTATATTTACCGCTTCATCTTATAAAATACAGAAAATCAAATTTAACGATTGAGCTTTTTTATTTATTTTAACCACGGCGATCTATAAGTAACAGGCCGTGACACGCAAAACTTGGAAAAAAATGTGGGGGCCGATATTTCAAAAATCAATATGATAATTGTTTTAAAACAAAATATGTTGCTCCCGTTATATAAAGCATTAAACTATGTAAAAATTTGTACAATTTATAAATCTTTTGAAGTTTTTAACAATAAACTTCATTTAATTGTTTCAATTCATAAAATTGCTTAAATAATGAAATAAAAAGTTTTATATCAGGTAAAAAACAAAAGTTAAATAAAGTACTGTTAGGGGGTAACTGCACCTTTAAATAGGAATATATTTTAGCGATTTAAATAAATAAGAAATACTTTTAAAATCATAAAATAGAAACTTTAAATCAATTAATAAATTTCAATAAAGAAATAACAGCATAAGTGTCAATAAATAACTGTTAACTTAACAAGACAACTTGAACATTTTCAGAGACGGTTCTTTGTTTGATCTTGGTGTGGAAAGTTTGCAGTGGTTTTTGATAAAAATATTTGACAGTATATTACCATGATGTTGTTCCATGTCAAAAGAGTGATGATCCGATATAAGCATAAAAGTGTTGCAAAGGGATGTTCGACAAACTTTATCTTTAATAGAGTTAAATAGTACAAATGAGAAGAAAACCCATTGAACATTATTATCAAAAGGAACTTTTAACCCACCTCTATCGACTGATTTTAGATATTGATCAAACTTTTCAAAATAAAACATTGTTCTGGTTAAAAGCTCATTTTTGTTAAGCAAATCATCATTACGAGACACATATCCGGCTATATAAACAAGAGACATCTTTGATTGAACAGTTATACTTTTTTCTAGTGTTGGTAAATTATCAAAGACCTCAGCTGAAGATTCATCATGTAAAAATCCAAAAAATATGCGCCACCAGATCCTTGTCTTAACTTGCTGAATTCTTTTTCAAGTGGGCCTGTTGTAAATTTTCCCAACATAACATATTTGTGTTTTTCTTTTAATAGTGTTTTTGTCAACTCAACAATTCCTTTACATGTATGGGATATGGAATATCCTGTATCATGTGTTAATTGTTTTATACGCTTCCCTTGATTACTTGTCATACGTAATGCCATTTCTCAGAAATTCCAAATAAATTTTAATATATCATCATTTGGATCTCTGATGACAGCTTGTCGATCATCATTAAACCTACAATCTACACCCACACTTTTTACATTTAAAACTTTCCACCATGTAACAACCATTTTAATAAAACCAGCAGTCTCATTTATGTTTAAGATGTTGGAGGTTTCGGGATGATTAAGTAAAGCGCTGTATGTTTTTTCAGAAAACACTTTTAGACAGGTAGAAACAGATTGTCTTTCAATATGACTGGGTCGAACAGAAACTTCATTCAAATCAGAAAGTTTCATTAGACAATTAAAATCAGCTTCAAAAAGTTTTATTAAATGACTCCAACAAGCTGTTTTCTCAACACCATTTTCATAAAAAATTAATTCTCCTTTTTTTTCTGTAAGCCAATTGTTTTGGATGTTTTTGATTAAGTGGACAAAGTCAAACAACAAATAGGTTCCATTGGTGGTTAGCCAAGGTTTTTCAGGAAATGTGTCAAATTTTTTTAAAAATTCCTTGATTAGTTCGATTTCCATCACATATAGTTACCTTTGTGTTTCCATTAGACTCTTTAACTGCTTCAACAGTCAAATGAATTTGATCATATAAAAATTGAGAATTTAATTTGTTTACAGGTAACATTTTCACAAGAAACTTAGGTCCACCAAACATACAAGTTATCATGACACCTAAAACAGTTTTTGCAAGAGAATCTGGGTTATCTAATGCTTTTCCAAAAAGAGCACCTCCATGATATAATAACATTTTTTTAACATAAACCTCATTGTGGAGAATAATACAAGTTTTTTGATCATCACTTAAATTATCAAAAACTTCTTTTAAAAAAAATCAGATTTCGATACTTTAGAAGTATAAAACATCAGATTTCGATACTTTAGAAGTATAAAACATCAGATTTCGATACTTTAGAAGTAATGCGTGTCAATGTTCGAATAGAAGATAGTTTAAAATCATCACGCAATTTTTTATAAAGTGTACGAGAGGTAGCAAAATACTCAAATGCTCTGATGATTACACTAAGACTATACTTATTTGTGTTCATGGAACTAATTTGCTCATTCATTACTATTTCCTTACTGTTTCGTGTCAAAAGGTTCAAGTATCGCAAGATTTCTTCAAATTTAGACCATGAGTTAACAATATTAGACACAGTATGTACTTTTCTTTTTACACCATTGAAACTTTAAACAGCTATAAAATTTAATGATAAATTTTAGTGTTGCATAATTAATAAAATCTTTGGATTGTACACAAAGTTTACGATCTGAAATGAAAGCTACAACATCAACAGAAAAATTGCGTTTTTTATTTAACAATGGGTCACAAAAAGTCATAGTTAAAATTATCTTCTGCTAAAAATGAATAGATTTCGTCAAAAGAAGTTCGATTAGAGGATAATGCACGTTTAGTTGATCTTAAAGAGGGTATAGATGTTGGTATTTGACTTAGAGGAACATTGGGCCAAATTGATGGTGGATTTTTTGGTCTTTCTCTTCCTTTTACTTTTACTTTTTCAAAATTTTTGGGCAACACTGTCAGTGTTGCTTGTCACTTTTAAATTTGCATTAGGAATGGACTTTATCCAACATTTTTTCTTTTCTTCAGCTCTTGGAAATCTATAAAAAGACATTTTAGATTCGTTTGATTTTTTTTTCTGTGAAGTAATTCGTAGAACAGCCATAAACACAGCATTTTTTAACCATTTTTTACAAAAGTACTACTACGCCGATAATAACTTCAGTTAAGTTAATATCGGCCCCCACATTTTTTTCTAAACTTTGCGTGTCACGGCCTGTAACTTAAAGAGCGCCATGATTTTAACCGTTAAGCTTAAAGAAAGAGGAGGGGATAGAGAGGGGAGGAGGGGGTTTACTTTCCGTGATTGTTGATCCGACGAAAGAAGCTTTCTATCGATGTATTACTTTTTGAGCTGTTTTTTTAATAAATAAGGTGCTCTATCAAACTGTAGGAATTAAACTTTTCTTTGAACTATGTCGTACTGAAAATTTTTTTGAGTAGAAACATGGCCTACTTAAATTACACGGCCTGATTTGTTGCATTTTCCGTAAAAAATTAAGAGGCCAGTTTTTTTACGGCTCAAGTATAAAAACTTAATTTTCGCTATGGTTATGAGTCGTGTTTGCACTATAATTGGTTTATTCTGATTTTATTAAAATGGTTTAATAATAGTTAGATTTTATTTGAGTACTTATATTATTTTGTGCTGGATTTTTTGTTAACTGATTGCCTGCTTCAGTTTATTCCAATTACACAGAATACTGAAATAGGCTTTCAGATAGCTATATCAACACATATTAACATGCTACTAAAAATAACCTTACATGTTGCTAAAACTACCCACAACTCTCCATTGGAAATAATTTTAAAGGTTTGTACTTTTGTATTTATTATAATGGCAGTTATTAGATATAAAAAATCGATTTTTCTTTCAAATATTTACACTGCAAAACAACGTTTTGAAATGTAAATACTCTACTATGCTTGTGTTTTATACATACAGCAATTACAATGCAACAAAACAGGCCAAGAAATATCAGGCATACCAACTGTTTTGGAGTCAATATCTGTTAATAAAATTCTTAATTTTTCATTGCCTAATAAATGCTTATCATATTTCATATTTTCATATTTCTTTATTAAAATGGTTTCACAGTGATGAAAATTACAATTTAAAAAACTATATTATATTATAAATATTATTGACAAAAATTTGTTGTTAAGTGATTATCTGCTTCTTGTGGTTGAGATGTACTTCCAAAAAGCAGCTCAATCTCAAAGTTGTAAACAATTTGATGAAGATTGAGAAAATAATCTTTATAAAGTTGTTTTTGTTTTTATTTTAAAATCTTTACCAAAAGTTTACATAACAAGTTTATGTTTGAAAAAAGAAATTGATGAGTGTATTACCTCAATGCACCAATCTGAATTTAAGATAAGGGCTGTTGTGACAGATAACCATTCTACCAATGTTAATGCATTTTTATAGTTTCATAAAGCATATATTGGTGATGGAAAACTATTAATTTATCATTCAGTTTAAAAAAGGAGTGTATAAAACATACTTATTATTTGATATACTTCGTTTTATAAAAAATGTAAGAAAAAATTTTTTTTTTTTTAAGTTATTAAACAGGCAAGTAAAATTAATCATCAAGTCACATATTTTAGAAACAACAAACAAGTTGTCAACATTGATAATATTTGACGAAACAACTGCAGCTGTAATTAAGAGTTATTTTCCTGAAAGAAATAATGCAACACACTTTAATCATTATTTTATAAGTTATTTATCATACTTAATTCAAAGCAGAAACTTAATTTATCCAATCAAACTCAGCAAAGCTGGTAACAAACCCACACTTTATAGAGAAATTGCAAATAGTACTGAAATTTAATCAAAGTAAAATTTGATAAATACTTTACATTAACCAAAAAAACTTCTTGTGCTCTTATAACAACCCTACAAGCAACTGTATCTCTTATAAATGATTTTTTTGAGAAAGGCTTTGCAGTTGTTCATAGTTCTATTTTACAAAGTAATCTAGGTTTTAGTAAGTATAATTAAAAACATGCATTAGTAAAAAAGTAAGTATAATTAGAAACATGCATTAGTAAAAAGATTTTTGCGGATTTTCCAAAAAAATATTTTATCAGAATTTTGATAATCATTAAAAAATATTATGCAAGATTTAGCTTAGTTGTCTGCATAATTACTAGTGTCAGCTTTTTAAAAACAGCACAGATTTATATACTAAAGCAAGGAATAAAGATAAAAATTAACAATAAGATTTTTATGTTAAATTTATGATTAATAAATGTTACTTTATACAGAGAAGAACCTATATATGCAATTCAACCTGTCTAACTTTATTTGTCTT